ATAGACACACATACACATACATGATTCATGACATTCAGCTGTCCTGAGCTGAAATTGATCTTTAGGCTTTTGTGGGTTTTATATATTTCAGTGTAAATGTCGTTTAATCTAATTGTATTTCTGTTGAGATGGATATCTACATGAATGATGGAGATTTAGTTTTCTGAATATACTTTTAAAAACAACTGACAGACTCAGTATGTAGGTCCAGTATGTATACTTTGCTCATAAATTAATACTAAATCAGAAACTTTACCAACTTGCCCACCTTCAAAACATTATCACGACCCATCTCTGCAGATAATGTATAATTATCTATGTGTATTTTATATTTCTAGTTATTTGCTTTTATTTGTTTTCTCTGTTTTTAACTTTAAAACTGTTAAATAAATAAAATGATATCATTATTATTATTCATACATTGTAGACCTGTCACTGAACTTTCACTATTTTATTTTGGAATAAGCTAAATGTCTTCTTCTATATTTCCTCTGTGTGCAATAACAACGTTTATTATTTCTTACTTCTAGGAAAATTAGCGATCCGGATGAATAAATTAGACCAAATATTATTTTTCTGGTGCTCATTTCTGAAATCTTACACTTTTGACTCACTGCTGCCGTCTTTCCCTCAGATAGAGATTGGAACACTGGCCCCACCTGACTACAACTACCCCGTACCCGAGGCCTCGCTGGAGGAACAGACAGAAGAGGAGGAGGAAGAGTTGCCGCTGACACCCCAGCTCATCCCTCAGGGTTCAGGGGGGTCCGGGGTCCTCATGGGCCCAGACACACAGAAAGGTCTGAAAAAGCACAAGCGTTCAGGTTCTGCACACCCACAAAATCAAGTCTTTTGGTACAAGCGAGTTCGGGAGGTTTGAGAAGACTCGCTCTTCTTCGGGGGTTATATTTGTGAAAGCAGCCCATAATTAACGAAAAATCAAAACACTAATCTGTCCTCACATCTAATATTCTGCATCTTCATCAATCATTCTCTCCATGTGCATGTCTTCCATTTAACTGTCCGTTCACGTTTAAATGTGTTCAATCATTGTGTCTCCTACCACCGAACCTGATTCATGATCCATGTCTGTCTCATGTTTCTGTTTATTAATACCTAATCTTGTCTCTAACAAGAGGTGGAGCTGCGTCTGACGCCCATTGACATCCTTCATGTCCCCGGGGATTTTGGGGGTTCCGTAGGGTCTGGGGCCTCAGGAGCTTCTGGAGCCTCTGGGTCTGGAGGCTCAGGAGATCCACTGGTCTCTGGGGCCTCTGGGGGTTCAGGTGACATTGTCTTAATCTCCGGAGCCTCTGAGGAGCTGCTGAGCTCTGGGGGATCTGGAGAGTTTTTGGTATCTGGGGACATCTTGATATCTGGGGATCTCTCAGGGTCTGGAATGGGATCCGCAACTTCTGGAGCCTCTGGAGACATTGGCTCTGGAGGTTCTGGGATTTCCATTGAACTCCCCCTGGGCTCTGGAGGGTCTGGGGACCAGTCTGGTTCTGGGTTCTCTGGGGATCTCTTGATCTCAGGGGCCTCCGGAAGCTCTGGGGTTTCTGGGGACTCTGGAATAACTTTATTATCTGGAGGTTAGTACCTTTACAGAGCAGATGTTGATCTGTGTATAAATAATCTGTTTAACTCTGTGATTTATGTTGATTTATTGTCTTAAATTCCATTTAACTGCTTCTTTTTTAAATGTAGTTAAATGTTGATCTTACTTATTTGCTCATATTCAATCTTTCTAACAGTGTGCGTGTGATGGATTGGTTAATTGGTTGATTGATTGTCTATCTTCCTAACTGCGTGTCTCCTAACCCCAACCTTTGGCTCTAACAAGAGGAAGAGCTGCCCCTCATTCCCGACACTATCCCCCAAGAGGCATCGAGTGCTTCTGGGGATTTCTCAGGAGCTTCAGGAATCTCAGGGGCCTCAGGGGATATTGGTGTTTCCGGAGACTTAGGCATCTCCGGAGCCTCTGGGGCCTCTGGTGTCTCTGGCTCTGGAGACGCCGAGGTCCCCGAGGTTGTTCTGCTCCCTGACATTGACAAAGGTCAGTATCTTCTCTAGCTCTATGTGAGAGATGTTAAAGAAAGAAATCTAAAACTATATCTCACATGTCTGGAAATGGAAAGTCTGAGGAAAGATGTGTTTTCTGAACAGTAGTGCATGTGAACATCATCAAGTAATAACACAAAATAAAATGATCAACCTGAATATAAGTAAATAAAACTCCACAGAGTACCTTTAAAGTACAAGACTCAAGCCGATGTAGCATTTTTGAGTTTTTTGGAAATTACAATTTTTAGAACTAGATTTATGGTAAAAGCTTTATTTGAGCAGTAATCTGTTTTATTAACTTCAAGAACTACTTCCACATCAATGTTTATACCAAGTCCACCGTTTTTATCTACCCTCTTATCGAGCCAAATTATACTACAAACAGATTTGGAATAACTTCCCTTCAAAGTGTTGTTTGTTCTTTTCTAACAATCATGTTTTTCACACCCACTCAGCAAATCACATTTTATGTCTTTAACACCGAAAGACAATTTCATTTAACCCCCGTTCATCCACTAAATGCTAAAAACTCAGTATATTAGCAGCGATGACCTGACGATATACTGGATGAAACGTAACCACAGCGGCAAACAGTGAGCTGCTGATTGCCAGACTCCCTGTTCCATGCTCATCTAACCTGTTTCTTTAACACCTGATCTTGTCTCTAACAAGAGGAGGGGCTGCTTCCGACTACACCAGAAACCCCTCAGGAGGGTACTGGCGGTGTAGAAGGGTCAGTGAGCTCTGGATTGCCAGAGCCTGGCGAACCCGACGAGCCCGATGAGCCTGTGGTTGACAGAGAAGGTCAGTACTGAACTAGACCGGGACAGAATTCAGAGAGGAATCAAATGAAATCTCCTCTTAACTCTGTTTGACTTTGGGGATCAGAAGCTCTTTGAGCTTTGAGGGAGGTCAAGTCCCTGAACTGTCCTCCACTTTACCTCCCTCACTTCTTTTCTTCTACTCCTTCTTCTCATCCATGCACTCCAGGTATGCCCACTTGCTTGCTGTGCACGTGCCTTGGTGGTTCGGTCTACTGTGATGACTTGAAGCTGGATAGCGTTCCACCTCTGCCCAAAGACACCACTCACTTCTATGCGCGCTACAACAGAATCACCAAGATCAACAAGTCCGACTTCGCCTTCATGAGTATGTTTTCCCGCTTAAATGAAATCATGTGAATGCTAGACCAGGGATCGGCCCTCAGTGAACGCCAAGTGTCATTTCTCACCTTCCTTCAGACAAGCTGAAGAAGATCGACTTAACCGCCAACGAGATAACGAGCATCGACGAGACGGCATTTATGGGTCTGCCCAACCTGGAGGAGCTGGTGATTCGGGAAAATCACATCTCGCAGCTGCCTGGGCTCCCAGAGACCATGACCCTGATCGATGCCAGCCACAACAACATCGGCACCAAGGGTCTGCACAAAGAGGCGTTCAAAGTACGTGCACGTTACTGTCCCACACCCAAGCCATATATCATTTATATTTAATATATCAGCTATCACTCAGACTCCCTCAGACTCATCATAGTAGTGTTTTAGTGCATTTAACACTGGTAACATTGGTATAACGTCAGTGACCGAGCTGTTAAAGAAATAGTAAAGTTACATATGTAGAGAACAAAGTCGTCTGGAGGCAGATCTTACAGCACATTCCTCTGTTTTATATTCTTAACATTACTTTAAAGGTTTCTGTCATAAACGGTGACATCTAAAGATCCGGGATGATAAAGATCTGTGTCTTTGTTTTCCTTGTCTCTAGGATATGACCGGCCTGCTGTACCTGTACCTCACAGACAACCACATCGACTACGTTCCTGTGCCTCTGCCAGACAGCCTGCGATCTCTACACCTACAGGTACAGTATGTCGGCTTTGGCCTCACATTTCATCGCTGTCCGAAAGGTCGACACTGAAGATGAAACGTTCAAAGCATTTAGGGTTAATCCTCTTTCTATTTCCTAATAGATATAAAAATAAATAGTATAAATCGGGAGAATATTGACCTGAAGTCATCCTGGAAATCAGTTCAGATCTTTTTGCATAGTCCTCTTAACTAAAACAATTTCCTTGCTGGAGGTTTAAAAGAAAGTTACATGATCAGCCGTCGCTCCCTCTGTGCTCCACTCTCATCTATAATCATCAAACTATCACAAATAAAGTTTGAGCTATGAGTTATGTATCACGCTGTGTCCTCCTCTTTAATGCAGCGCAACAATATTCAAATGATGCACGAGGACACGTTCTGCAACCTGAAAGATTTCAACTACATCAGGAATGCGCTGGAGGACATCCGCCTGGATGGCAACCCCATCAACCTCAGCAGGACCCCGCAGGCTTACGTCTGCCTGCCCCGCATACCCATCGGGGATCTCATTTAAACCACACAGACACATACTCTTGCACGAATGCAACAACATGCACACATCCTTTGTACATATTGACACACAAGACCAAACACACACACAAACACACACACAGAAACCATTGTTTGACTCTTCAGATAATAACAAATTAAACTTTGTGTTGAGATTTAATTTCATCAGCGACCACAAACACGTAAATTATGAGTCAGACTCTGGTGATCAAGCACATACACACTCTACTGCTCCTTGTTGCTCCTGTTGTTCTGACTTCTATGTCCCGTACAACACACACACACACACACACACACACTGATTACCATCTGAAAACGTAATTCTAACCAAAATACATGTACACACACACACATACAAATACACACACATTTACAAACAAGAACTTTGTCAAAAGCCAAATTGTTCCGCAACTTGATGAAGTGAAAACATTCAGCGAAATCAGTTTATTAAAAAAAAAAAAACCCCTCTACAACATGTACGTTTCTGTTTATTCTCTGTACAAGACTGGCAAAAGAAACAACCAGTAATATTGTTTAAAGATGTTTGTTTTGTAAAAATAAAAATTATATTAATATTAATAACAAATTGAACACTTTTGGAAATGTATACTAGCATAAACTTATTGAAGCTGGAGCTTAACGAAAGGTGAATTGAATATCTAATGCAATAAAAGAAGCATTTAAATAAATCATCATTTGTTGTAAAGTCTGTACTGTAATATAAAAATATATATTCTGAAAAAAACACGATTTTTTACATGAACTGCAATATTTGGTATATTACATTTCAAAAAATGATGTTTCAACCATGCACAATAGCTTCTACCAACGGCTCTAATGTCTAGAGTCAAACAACTAAAGACTATTGTCTGATTTGGGAGGGGGGGTGTTGATTTTGATTGTGGATGGGGTTGAGAATAATGCTAATAGCTTGCTATTGTGTGCTCTGTATGGAATAACCACAAGTGAATAAAGTTGTTTTGAAGACCTCTCTGAACCAGGAGTGGCTCAACGTTTTCATTGAGAAGTTGCAGGTTTAAGAAAAAGTGAGGATTTTAAAGAAACAGCCATTTTCATACATGACCTCTGGACGATGTGCAGACGTTTGGGTCCAGACTTTCAGGAACGGAACGGAACTCTGCATGTTTTTTACAGCACATTGGTTTTTTTATTAAATTGTTGCATCTGTGATGTGTTGAAAAAGTCATCAATGCCCCCCACCATCCTCCTGCGGTGTTCTCACAGAGGCTCCTCCGAACTTTCTGCCGACTTTATGCTAGGGCACAGGCCAGAAAAAGTCAGCAGAAAGTCTGGAGGCCCTCGCTCGGACATTTGCGCTCACACATGCAGCCCCTGTGGAGAATGTTCAGAGCAGATCTGAGAGCAGCTAAAGTGGAAAAACCTCAGAAATGTTGAAAAAAACAGATTTTTTCAGTCAAAAACTTTCAATAAGTTTTTCAAACAAATAAAGAAACCGCTCCTTCCTGTCCATGTCCACAGCATGAGAGTCTTTCACCTCACTGCTGTTTCCCGTAGCCTCCTCTGTGGTTTCTCTTGGTGCAAAGAGTCTCTCCAGCCTGGCTCTCTCCCGCTGCAGAGCCAGCCGCTCCCTGCACACAGCATCTTTGTCCTTCTCCACCATCGCCTTCTCCCTCTCCAGCACCACCTTCTCTCGCTCTATCGTCACCCTCTCTCTCTCCAGCGTGGCCCGGTCTCGCTCCAGAGTGGCGACCTCCCGATCCAGCACCGCCCTCTCCCTCTGCAGTACCAGCCGCTCCCTTTCCATCAGCCGTATCTCCTTGTCCATCACCTGTCTTTCGGTGTCCATCACGTTCCTCTCATTGTCCACCTCCTGCATGATGAGATTCACGTCCAGGCTTCCTTCTTCCTCCTCCTCCTCTTCCTCATCATCTCCATTCAGTGAAACCTCAATCTCGGGCCTGTCTGCTACCAAGGTCATAGGGGGCGATATCCCCATGGATACCCTCCTCCTCTTCTTGGGCTTGGAGATGGGTAAGAAATCACAATTGTCTTTATCACCGGAGAAAACCTTAAGTGTTGGGGCGCTGCCTTCCAGCCGACCCTCTATGGCGTCGTCCATCAGGTGAAAGTGAGCCCACATTTCAGGGAACACTTTCATCCCATCTGCGGGGTTCTTCAGGGCCTGTGGAGAAACAGATGATGACATCAAGTCAAGATGAAAACTAGTCCGAATGTTTCATCAATCTAAAGAAATCTAAAACAAGGACTACCTTGTACTTCTTCTTCATGTTCTCCCATTTTTTAGATGCTTGACTAAAGGTCATCTTGTGTTGTAAACCCATATGCTTGAGAATGGCCCTGCAAATATCACGAGTGAGCTATTAGTTATAAAATGCCAATAAATATTCTACAACTTCAAATCTGCAGAAGGACATTGGTGAAAATATAAAAACAAAGAGGATGGAAATAGAGAAAATCTATCAGGAAGTGGTTACAGTAATATAAACAGTTTCAACAATGGAAGAAGTGTAAAATTTAAAGTGTATTAAAATACGTATAGGAGGTAAAAATGGGTCGTGCCTTTGTATAGAACCTCCTCAAAAACATAGACATATATGCAGAATATCCCATTGTAGTACTTTGTATTGCTGCTACATCACCGTCACCTTTTCTATTTTCACTCTCTAATACATTTGACTCCATGACGTACTTCCATGCCAGCCTGGACGTGTTTCTTTTTCCAGAGAAGAGGGAGGAGTTACAAACCCTCAGCTTCACAAACTCTTCAACTTCTTGTGGACTCACTGGGAGAGAAGAAAGGAGGAAAAAAACGAAATTAAATTTATACTTGGAGAGTTGAAAAAATATGAATAAAAATAATAACTGACGGTCCACTCTTCTTGAGCTCAGTGAAAGATAAAAGATAGACAAAGACCCTGACGGAAATTAAACTGCACTCGGAGCTGGTTATTACACAGTGCATGTGTTTATTAGATAGATAGATGGATGGATGGATGATAGATGATAGATAGATGGATAGATAATAGATGATAGATGATAGATAGATGGATAGATGGATAGATGGATGATAGATAGATGGATAGATGATAGATGGATAGATGGATGGATGGATGATAGATGCTAGATAGATGGATTGACAGATAGATGGATAGATGGATGGATGATGGAGGAGAGATGATATATAGATGGATGGATAGATAGATGGATAGATGATGGATGGATGGATGGATGGATAGATGATGGATAGATGATGGACAGATGGATGGATAGATGGATGGATAGATGATAGACAGATGGATAGATGAT